AAGGGATGATTGTTGAATTGAGATTTAAATATAACAATAATTTGTAAAATTGATTTTGGACTTCATTGAATTTGTCAAAAAAAATTCAAAGTTCAAATACTTGAAAAATATGTTTTAAATGTTTTCCAACTTATTCGAACATTTTCAAAAATATACTCGATCATTTTCTCACTTTAAAGTCGAGTTTCCAAGCATTTTTTGCTCAAAGGATCGATCTCCTTGAAAAAGGATTGATCCCTTGGATTCTAGTAACTTTTGGATCGATCTCTTGTACAAAAGGATCGATCCTTTGATGAAAAAGAATTGATCCCTTTCTTGTAATGATCGAATTATTTAAAAATGATCGATCCCTTTCAACAAATGATTAATCTCTTGTGCATTAAATGTTGTTTTTTTATTGTAGATAACGACTATAATGATCCCCAACGACTCTAAACGACTAGAATTGATGGAGAATGTATAAATTGAAGGTCAAAGCATCACAAGGTCAATAATAACCATATTGAACCAAACTACCAACATCAAAGTATTCTCTTGTGCTTAATTTTGTCAAATTCTTTATTGTAAATACACTTGTGAGCTAAATTTTTTATTTTGCTCAAGTGTGTATTGGGTGAGTGCTTAATTTGTGCAAACATATTTGCCTTGTGAGGTTTACTCATTTGTTTGCTTTATTTGTATTTACTCTTTGGGATAGTGTGTATTCAAAGGTTTTAGGATATAAACATTTAAGTGTTTATAAGGTTACACCTAGTCTTTAAAGGTAAACAAATCTAGTGGATTTGAGAAATTTTTGTTATGTATACTAAAGTAATGGATGTATACTTGGTTTTTAAGTTGAACCACTCTACGTTGTGTAAAAAAGTTTATTTTTCAGTTGCTTCCACTAACTTTTTAAAAGACCAATTCATCTCCTATTAACGTATTTTGATTATTCGTAAGAACTAACAAAATCCGCTACCACGATCATACTCATCATATCTCTAACATTTTAATTTTTACCTAATCATGGAAACTTTTCTTTCAATTGATGGCTCGTGTGTGTGTATATACACTCAATCAATAATTCTCCCCCCCCCCCTTCAAATCCTCCACCACGATCATACTCATCAAATCTCTAACATCTTAATTTCTATGTCTTTATGGTTTAATTTCTTTCCACTGCTGCTTACCTTGCACAAATCTCCTAAAAACACAATGAAAATTGGTTGACAAAAAGTATCAAAAAAGGAAAAAAAATGAAGGATTAAGTGGAGTTTTGTTAAAAAAAAAAAGGAAGAAGAAAGCTATCTCTCCTCCTCAGCTTCTTCAGTACACCACGAAAGGTTTAAAAAAAATGTAAAAGTCTAGATTTTTCTTGGCCAAATGGAATAATCACACTATAAGTACTTATCCTTTCACGAGTCCTTATTACTTGGCCCCCCACTAATAGTCTACAGTTTTATATCTCCACTCATTTACTCGGGTCAATATCCAATATTAACTCGAGTCTTTTCTCGGCCGTCACAAAATACAGGATCAGTAATGAAAATAAATATGTTTAATTTGATATGTTAGATAAGTGAAAATAGTTCGATCTAGTTTTTGAATTTTTTAATTATTTATTTTAATTTAGTTCAATTTAAGTTTTTATATTTTATTTTGATAAAATAATTATGCTTGATATTCTTTGATAAAATTTAAAAAAAAATCATAAAAATTCTCATTTGTAAGTAAATAAAAACAGTTAAAAATTATTATATAATATTTTAAGTTAATTTTGATGTTTGAGATGTTACGTACTTAGGCTAATTAGGTTTTAGCTTGGTTGACGACATGGTTACTATTTAGAACGTTCACTCAAACGTGAATCCGAGTGTGTTTAAGCTCATTTTATTCTATAACATATCTATTTTTAATAAAAATAAATAAAAACAAATAAGTAAAAATATAATTTGAATATATGATTTAGTTTAACTTTCAATTTACTCAATTTCTTTGTTAAATCTTAATTCTAAATCCCATTAGGTATTTTTAAAACTCTTTTTTATGTATTAAAGTTGTCTCTCACATTTCCTCCTCTCACAATAAATTTTTGGGTAAATTATAAATTTACTTAAAAAATTTTACTCTTTCCCTACTTCACACGTTAAATTTTAAATATTTTTAATTTATTCACTAAATTTTATATATTAAATATTTTTAATCAAGTGTGCCCTTAATTTTTCAACACCATTATGACATGGCTCATTCAAGGATTTTTTTTTTTATCGTTACACGTCAGGAAAGGAAAGAGAAAAGATCTCTTTTTCATATTTTCTTTTTAAAAGAACCCACAAATCTTACATAAGCTTTCTTCTCCTTTTGTTTCTCTCTTTTCTTGCTAATCAGCAAGAAGGAGAGAAGAAAATAACAATAAGCCAAACCACTTTCTTGGCGGATACATTGAAGGTGATTGTAAATGACAGCGTTCCGATGATGATGCAAACGATGAGGCCTAAATAACCCATGCTCCGACAGGAAGAAAAAGGATTTCTTAGTTTGAGAAGTGGATGGTTGGGTACTTTAGAGGTGGGCTTAGAGCGAAAATTGAGGAAAGGGCGAGAATAGAATAAGAAAGGAGTGAAGATGGCGGTGGAGAAGCAGTGAAGAGGTAAACTTTTCGTTTGGAAGCCGGGAAATCAACAGAGAAAAAAGATGAGAAAGATGAACGCTAAATGGGCTAAATCTACGAGATAATGTGTTTGAATTATTTATTTCAAGAGATAATGTTCTCCCAAGATTAATTGCTGAAGTAAGGAGAATTGCACATTGTTGGCCGTAGGTCGCCATGCCTTCCGGGCGACCTACGACGTGGCAGCTTCCGACGAGGGAATGATCGTGTGCTTAACCCTTACACGCCCTGCATGTCATAGCTGGGAGATTCCTGCCCGACGACCAAGCTTTAACCCTATGCTCCCTCATGGATGCAACTCATGCATGTGTTGTATCCATAGAGCGGGACGTGCAGAAATATCACATGGCCATGCAAGGAGACAAGGTCGCCGGGCGTGCATGGCGACCTCCTTGGTCGCCTGGAGTGCATGACGACCTCATTGGTCGCCCGGAGTGCATGGCGACCTAGGAGGTCGCTGGGAGTGCATGGCGACCTATGGGTTGGGTTGTGCATGGGACGTCTAAAGCTGCCACGTCGTAGGTCGCCCGGAAGGCATGGCGACCTACGGCCAACACTGTGCAATTCGCCCTACTTCAGCAATTAATCTTGGGAGAACGTTATCTCGTGAAATAAATAATTCCAACACATTATCTCGTAGATTTAGCCCACTAAATGGGTGGTGGGGAATAAAACATATTAAGATAATATTAATAATATATAAAAATATTAAAAAATGCCATATTCTCACATAATTAAAAAAAACCGAGTGACAAAAAAGAATACAATATATAAAGTTCAATGAAGAATTGAAAAGTTTAAAAATATAATAAATAAAATAAGAAAAGAACAAAGTTTGATGAGTAAATTTGTACTTTAACCTAAATTTTTCTTGTCATTATAAAATAATCATTTATTAAATATTTTATAAATATATAAAATTTATATAAATGTTTATGAATATGTTAAAATTTAATTTCTCTTTAAAAACGATTATTAAAAAGTATAAACAACAATTAATATTAATAAAAAATGTAACTTCAATGTTAGATTTTTTTAATGGAAATGTTTGACCGTAATTGATAATACTTATTAATTTTACTATGATTTGCATTGAAGGCAACCTATTCTATCTCAGAATTAGAAAACCTAAGTAGAAGCAATGATTAAAATATAGTTTCTTTAAGCTTCACACGAAACTGAAAAGTAATATTTTTGTATTTATATAAATTTCCTTAATGTACTGTATATAGAAGAGTGTATTAAATTTAATGATCGAAATTTTAAACTCAATTTGCCAATATTCAATACCAAACTACTTGCGTGTAAGACAACAGCAAAGGAATCTGATATATGAGAGAGATTTGTCCAATAAATAACATATTCCACTCTTGTTATTCATATGTAATTAAATTCCAGCAATTAAAGTTGCAACAGCTACAAAGATGATTATGACATTATATATTCTAAGTTAATCATCGGATTATTAAGCAGTGAATTCAAAGTGAAAGAAAGGGTTTTTCCATATACTCAAAATCTCTGCAGATCCTTACCTCTTTTCAATTCTATGTTTCATGCAAAGCTCTGCAAGTGGCTGGTCTTAGATCCTTGTATCAGAGCTTGCTGCAGAAAAACAATGAACCAAAAATCAAACTTTGAAACAGTTATAAGCCAATAATTTTGTATACTTAGGCTAAGGTCGGTGAATATAGGTTAAGTGATAAATATTTATATTTATTGTTGTATGCGGTACTGTAAAGCAACCTTCTTTCATTTTCACTGAAAACAAGGTTCACCTAAAGGAAGATTAAACTTTTCAAGTTATGGGACAAATGGTAAATCCATAATCCAACAAAGGAAAGATATATATATATATCAATGCACTTCTTCCAAACACAAACTTCTATTTTTATAACATTATTATCACAAGCTACTAGATATTTTTCATTGATGAAAACTGAAAATTAGTGTGCTTTCTTAGGTGGGTGAAAGGAAACTATCTGGCAAGGGAACTGTTATCTTCCAAAGAAGGTGTGAAGCATTATCTAAGCTCACACAAAATTCCCTCATAAATCCAATGTAGTTACTCCCTTTTTGTCTCGTGCAAACTTTCCACAGAATCTGATGCAGTAGTGTGTTAAATCAAGGTAATCAAAGCCTAAAAGAAAAGAGATAGCTGTTCATTCATTTCATTTTCCTGGAAAATTTCATCAAGGGAAAAGATAAGGTAGGTAGAAAATAAAATGAAGGTTTTCAAGTCAGTGTTTTAAAGAGTATTCTAGTGCCTAGCATATATTACTCGCAAAACTACGAAACACCCTTCAATCATACAAGCATAAACAGTAAGTTAATGAACCAGGGAAAATCTTCAAACACAAAGGAAAAGAAAAGGATTATTGTTTATTGAACAAGGAGCAGAACTCGTACCCTCCTCGCTTTCTGATATTTGGGGTTGTTGGTTTTGTTGGCCTTGTTGTGGCTGAATCAAAAGCTGTGGTTGGAGTGGAAGATGATCTTGCTGTTGTGTCTGAATCTGATAAGGGCTATCAAAGCTCCCTAAAGCCAAAGAAGGTGACATGGTGGCAGCAGTTGTTATTTGATTAAACCCAGTTGCAGTGACTGAACCGGACCCACCTTCAAACCCACTATTAAGCGTCATAATCTCTTGATGTTGAACCTGTTGTTGTTGTTGTTCATATCCTCTAAGCAAATCTTGTTGTTCTCTTGCTGCAACCACTGCAGCCAATTGCTGTTGAGCCTCAAACATCTGCTGCTGTGGCTGCTGTTGTTGTTGAGGTTCTCTTATCACCAACTGGCCACCTTGTGAAGCGGAAGCCGCCGTGGGAATCCCCATCATTGGCATCCCATTTTGTTGCATCATAGAAGAAGGGTTCCCAACATGCTGTGGTTGCTGCAAAAACACAGGCGGTTGTAAGATGGGAAGCAATGCTTGAGGACCGATGTAAGTGGAGAGCTCTTTCTTGGCATTGGTGAGATCGTGTTGCATTTGTTTGAGCCTGTGTTGTAAGATGGAAATGAGCCCAACACATCCGTAGACGGGGTCGCGGAGACGCGCCTCCGCCTCGTAGGCTAAGGAGTTCACGGCGTCTTCACGTTGGGAAGGGTTGAGCTCGTTCAACAGCTTGGCTACGTTGCTGGCGCCGAACACCTTGTGGACGTTTTGGAATTTCTGCGGATTGTCTGGCGGAAAATATGGTGCAAACACGCATTCCTGCGTGCATTTTCGACGAAGAAACTTGCACGCCGCGCAAGGAGAGTTCGACGATGACATCTCCGATGAAACCCTCCTCTTTTTTTCCCCTTGTAATTATTAAACTGAAACGAAATGAACCCAGATCATCAATTTTCGATAATATTCATTGATTTTGGCGGGGAAAAAACCAATGCGCAGCAGCAGCAGCAGAAGAAGAAGAGATCTAGTAATGCATAAGCGATCTGGGATTTAATGTAAAAGTACTAAAACCGCATTGAAATGGGAAATCAACGAGGAAATATGCATGTTGATTCAATATTATGATCGATGGACAAGAAGAACAGTCCACGAAAACAATGATTTTTATAATAAAAACAACATTGAAAAACCTTACCTTTCGCTGAAACTGCCAAAAGAAAGCGCTAAAAAGAGAAACCAACAAAAGTTGGTTCTTTTCTGAGAACAAACTCCATTGAAAGATCGAGTCTTTGCATCTTCCAGAACCTACAGATCAAAACTTTATGCGCAAATCTTCTCTCTAATAAAACAATTTTCTAATGTTGGAAACTAAAAAAAGTTAAATAAGAATAAATTTACTATTAAAAGAGCGGCTGACTGAGCATCAATTTATTGAATGTGTCTGAGTTACTCTTTGTGCCCCCATTATCTGTGTCAATTACCGAATTTGCCATTTAATGATGTTAAACAAGACAAATCTATTTAGTATCGTTTCTAAAAATAATTTTTTAATTAAAAATATGTTTAAAATCATAAAGAATATTAAATAAATAATAAAATCTATTCCATCACATTTTGATGGGATGATAGTATCAAATCATGATAAGGGAAATAATTATTTGTATATTCAATCTTGATTGGATGGTAATATCAAATTGTTGCATATAATTCAATGAATATCATAAATATAAAAGTATAAAATTAACAATGGACTCATCAATATCAATACAAACTATAGAAGTTATATCATCTTGGATCTAATTTTATCTAAGACTAAAGCAATATAACTTCAGGTTTAGTTAATAATATTTTTTTATAGATTTCATCATTGGTCTCGACAATAAAAAGAAACTATTACTTTTAAAGATTTTAAGTACTAATAATTATAACGTGTGTTATTAATTGATTAATTATTTTTTAACAAATACTATCTTAGAATTAATCTAAAGCATTAAACAATTGATATTTCTATATAATTGTCGCTTTATATTTTACTCTCTATTAATAAATCTATAACAGTAATGCATTAGCACGAATCAACTTACTCTAGTGGTTAAATGAATCATTGTTGTTCTTAAATGTCACGAGTTTGAGCACCAACGACTGTAGTAGGGTGATTTTGAGCGTCCATTATTAAATGATTGAGAGTATATAGAACATATAATACTTTGTAATCATATTAACTTAATAAAAAATAGTAATACATTAAATATTTTATTATATTCTTTCATTAATTCAATAAATTAACCGTTATTATTATTATTATTTAAAAGCTTAATGTAAAAATAAATGCATAAGTTATACTAAAGTTAACTTTAGGTTAGGTGTTTAAAGAATTTTTCGTTAAAAAATAGGCGCCTAATATTTCTAACGTTACACTTTTAGGTGTTTGGGGAGTAACCACCGTTAATTTCGACCATTAAGTGACACATGTCAACCTTATAAAATTATTATTTGAAAACACCTATTTTTTGGAAATTATAAAAAATCTCAAAATCTTGAAAAATCCTAATTTCAATTCTCTCTCCACTACCGACCGCCACAATCGATGCCAATTGGTCGGAAACTCAACGACGCGCGATAGTCCAAGCACCTAACAGTCGAACCCCATGCTTGAAGTGACGATTTCAGAGAAAAATGGGTGATTATAGAGACTTATTGATTCCAGCTAAGGATGATTCGAGTGATTCAAGCAACAATTTTTCTTGTCATGTGTTGGAATCCGGTTAGATGAAGTGGCCGGCGACAAAAGATGACGACCAAGACAACATCGATGACGACCGATGTGGCTAAAATATTTTGAAATTAGAGATTTGGCTTTTTTAGATTTAATAAGTTTTTTTATAAATAAGTTATATTTTATTTTAAAATAAAATTTTTAAATTTGACACGTGTCTCTTAATAATCAAATTTAACGACAGACACCTAAAAATGTAACATCGAAAACGTTAGCATCTATTTTTAGTGAATTTTTTTTAGACACTCAAAGTTAACTTTAGGCTTATATTTCAAATAAGCACCATACTCTCTTTTTCCTTTAAGTATCTAAGGTATTTTTTTTATCAAAACAAGTGCCCAAAGTTATCTTTTGGTCAAAATAGGAACCGAAGTATTTTATGTCAAAATAGGTACCTAAACTATTTTAACTTTTTCGTCTAGATTCTGAAAAAGTTGACATTTGACATTGACTAAAGAATACTTTAGGTAATTGGATGAAAAATATTGAATACTTTAGGTATCTATCTTGACCAAAAAATACTTTAGGTACTTATTTTGACCAAAAAAATAACTTTGAATACTTATTTTGATAAAAAAAATACTTTAGATACTTAAATGAAAAAGAATGTATACTTTATGTATTTATTTGTTGTATAAGCCTCAACTTTAAGTATATTTTAGACTAAATTTTGCATTAGGCCTTAATTAAAAATAGAATTGGACTGGCTTTGATCTTTTGATTTTTTGAATAGGTATATATTAAGCCTGAAAAAGCCCTAAAAATTGACCCAATTCTTAAACCCCTATTGCCTAACCATACGCAAAACCCTCATGTCCAGAACTCAAACCAGCAACAACTGTCGACAGCCCACACTCCGGCGAAGTCCATTCTAATTTCCGGCCAAATGTCCAGGTTGTGGCGCAGTCTGAGAACGGCGGTCCAAATATCACCGACGAACTCCCACCATTACCACACTATCCAAGCCATACCTCGAGAATGCACCGGCAGCCGTATCTCGAGCCGCGAAAGATTCTAAGGTAGTATCCCCGCCGTAGTTTTCTCTCAGGGCTTGCTCGAGAAAAACCCAAAAAACCGTTTCTCCGTCAAGGAATCAACTTTTGACTACCGAAGGAAAGCAGATTCGATCCATTATTAAATCGGTTGAACTCCCTTTCTTTTGTTCCACGACGTTCCAGCTTCAGATCCGGGCCGGTTCTGGGTCTTCAATCTCACTTGAATCCGGGAGAGTTTTACCTATCAAGGCAAGTTTTTTTTAGTTTTAAATTTTTTAACTTTTACTGTTACCTAAGTTCAAAGTTTGTTTATATTTTTGGGTTGTTTTATAGATTCACAGGGACGAGGAGACTGGTAAAATATTGAATTTGGTGTTTGTTTGGGCGGATGAAGGGAATGAGCTGAAGGTTGACGTGCCTGTAGTTTTCAAAGGACTAGAGTATTGCCCTGGCCTTAAGAAAGGTATAAAATTTACTGCAATTGTCCCCATTTCATCTTTGTTTGATCGATGTTAATATTATCCAAGATTTATATTTTTACTATGTAATGTCTATTTTCTTGTCCACTGCTCCGTTTAGATGAAATTGTGTTTTTGGGCAGAAACTATCTGAAATTGTTGGGTAAAGTACTATGATTTAGTATTTGGTATACCTAAGGTACATTTGGATCACGGAATATAAGATTATCGACGGAAATAGTATTATCGGCGAGAATAAGATTACTGAGAATGTTGCATTTTTGTGTTTGGTTCGTTTAAGTGTTTGATTAAAGGAATAAAAGATTATTGAAATGTATATTTTATCAAATTGTCCTTATTATATATTTGTTTTTTTAACAAGTTGAATTCTACTATAATTAATTTATATATTTTCTTTAAAAATTTTAAATTCATAAAATTTATATAATTTTTTTTACAAAATTGAAAATATAAATAGGTTTAATGAAGGGTAAAATTTTATTTTAACTCCTAAACTTCATATAAAATTTTAATTATGAATTTTTTTGTAAATCTAAAATAGTTTGAGGATAAATTTGCAATTTAACATTCATATACTTTTTTTATTCAACGACTGAAGAATAATATTTTTGAGAAAAAAAATTAGGGGTATTTTAGTCTAAAAAGCTGGGAATGTAACAATAAGGTCCCGTTTGGTTCACGTCATCTTTCATTCCTGGGAGGAATTTTTTTTCCGGGTAACGATACCCATGTTTGGATGGAATTATATTCCCAAGTGCATGTAAAGAATGAATACCAATAGTGATATTTTTTTCCTGTTTTTCCGGGAATATCATTCCCCCATCTTTCTTAGGTATTTGCTCATTCCCGATCCTCTTGCCTAAAACACCCTTCTCCCCGCTTGGTTATGGCTGAAAGAAAATCTGATTCTTCTTCCATTTGACGTTTAGATTTGCTTCTGGTGTATTAGTCTCCCATCTCCCTTCTGGCGTTCAAATTGTATTTTCTATATTTATCTTTTTGCAGAGCAAAAGATACTAAATTGTTTTTGTCACTTTTTTTTGTTAGAGAAAATTGAAAGAGAAGTGGAAAGATGAAAATCACTGCGTTATTGGTGTTGAAGTGCCAGCCGGTAGGATCCGATCCCATAATACTAGCTAATGCATCCGACGTGATCCATTTCGAATTCTTCCAAAGGCCAAGCGTCAGGGAGTTCATCGTCTTCGTCTCTTGAACCGTCGGCAAACGAACCTCTCCCGGTCAACACCAATCCGTCTAGCACGAAGGTCCCTCCTCTGTGAACCTTTCTTAATTTTTTTCTCATTACAGGATAATATTCGTTTCCTTGATTATTAAAATCTCTGGCAATTAGATCAATAACATCATCTCTGCATCTTATTTTGTTTTATCGTGTATTACATTGCCATTTTTTTAATGAAAATATTTTCTGAAATTTTGATTTTATCAGAAAAATCAATATCATGATTATGTTTTAGGTTTGAGAAGATCTTTGGTTAATTATGATAATAATGATTTATTTATTTATTTATGTTTGGTGATTTTAATGTAGAGTACATGGTACATTCTTACAACAAAAATGGACTTTGTGCAATTGGATTTATGGATAGTCATTATCCTGTTCGAAGTGCTTTTTCGCTTCTCAACCAGGTAAAATAACGGAGTGTAACTCTTATCTTCTATGTGTCATGATTTACCTTATAATTCAGTATCATCAAATCTTATTGACTGCAATATTGGTGTTTTACACTGGCGTTCTCTGTGGTTATATTATTAGGTTCTCATAGCCTGAGACTGATTATAGCAGGAAATGAATGGAAAGGGAAAATAGAGAAAAAGAAAGGAATTAGAGAAATAATATATTCATTGATGATTGGGGTCGTGTTTACATGAATAGATCTTTATAGATTTAGTTATTGTGGAATGAACTATAATGTATAGGAGCAACAGTTATTGATAGTTGTCCTAATATTGGCTTAATCTCACCTTATTCAGTAACCACTAATTTATTCCTTCTAGACGTCCCTCTTTTTGGTACTTGACCCACCAGCTCTCAGCTTGTAACTCCATGTTCAGCAACCATGTTCCTAGCTTTTAGTTTTTCTTCATTTCATATCTCGGG